GAAAGTTTTCAGTGATTTTTAAACCAGCGATCAGGCAACGTGCTGGAACATTAAAAGCTCGTATTTCATCCTTCTTGTTTTAAAAGCCTTTCCCAAATCCCTTTTATGAGCCTGCAGATAGGATTCATGACATGTGAAATTATTGAAATTTTGGTTTTCTAAAACCGAACATTATCACACACACGGTTTGTCGACAGTCTTTGCTGGGAAGCAGGGCTCTCTAATGGTCCGTTGGTATCAATCTGCTAATGTGCAGCGCACAGCTAAAATGGTGCATGCTTTGGTCTTTCGTTTTACCGTCTCTTCACCTGCCTGTTTCTCTGCTCTTCTCTATGATGCTTAGTCAATATTCCTTTTCCTGCCCCTCCCCTGAAAATATACGTGCATTTCCTTTCAGTTTTTTTCTTCATATAGTTTTAGTCTTGTCATATCGTGAAATTAGCAGTCCTTGGAGGATTGCATATCACTCATTGCATTGCATGTTAAAGTTTTAAATAAATATCTTGCTCTGTTAGTGCTCAGAGTTTGTGATGTGAAGAACACTCAGCTACTACCAAAGTCAATTTTATCCCAGTTTCCATAAAATTGACTAAGCTAAAGCTGTTTTCGCGTTTGCTACGGTTGAATAAACTGTAAGTTTGTTTGAGGCTGCGGTAACTCAGTTGCCGAGAATTTCTTTCAAATATGTCTAGTGTTTCATGCAATATTTTGCTAACAGACAGAGTTGACAGTCAATGCCAAAGTTTTAGCTCTCAGATTATGTGTTGGGAATGCTTCTCACCTACTTCAATAAATTTTAGTAACATTTCGTTTAAAATTTACTTTGTTATTGTCACATTTGTGTTTGCTAAGGTTCTTTAGTTGTGGCAGCCATCTTGAAATGTACTTTCAAAAGCTAATCAGTTGTAGATGTACAAAAAGCTATTCACTGATTTATGAGATATTTTGCTGACAGACACATAATTGTCTGAGCATTGGTCTCTCATGGCAGCAGACAATAATATACACAACACCAGCAAGAAACATGGATAGTTATCCTGAACTCTACTGTGTTTTAATACATATTAAGTTATGGGGGAATGGCTGCATGATGTTCAGGGCAGCATAAGACAGTTTTTCAACTCTGCTGTTTGATAAAAAGTGAATGAGTTGCACACAAATGTTATCAGTCATAAGCAAGTTATTTAGTCTATGTGGGACATCAGCTGAAGTCACTAAAGCTTTGCCATTCTTCCTGCTGAAAAGTGTGAGAGGTGTTTGTGTGTGGAAGCCATTCACAGAGCACACACACATGCTGATATAACGGTGTAGTGTGTGTGTCACCATTCAGTATACAAGTGAGTGTTGTGATGCTTAGCTGGGAATGAATCATGCTGCACTCAGTCATTTCCTCCGCTGTCGAACAAGTGGATCATTTAGAATCAGCGGTTGATAGAAATCTACCATTAACAGTTTTATCCACCATGTCTGACTGAAATCTGACTTTGTGTCTGCTTTAACGTTGCTTATCTCAGTCAAAAATAAATCAATAATCCAGGCACGGCTTTAATTTGTGTATGCCAAAAAAAAAACTAAAACTAAAATATGTTATTTGCTGCAACATGCTTGGCCTGCAGTAACAATAGGGAGGACCCACAAGTCAAGCCAGTATTGTTCAGTATTTGTCCTATAAACACGACAATGGAATGTAGAAGTGAAGGTTACAAGTTATATCAGAGCCAAAAACAATCTATTTTACTGTTTTAGAGTTCAAATCAGCACTAAAACTTATCCATGTGCCCTTTCCCATTCTCCACTTCTTACTTTTCCTAAATTTCTTAGCACGTTGTTTCCTATTGTGTAATATTGGTGGCAGATAAGCAGACAAACAGAAGACGCCAAAAACAGCAACATACTAAGTTTTCACCTTGATGAAGGAACATGGAGCTCCCCGTGTTGGTTAAATTTACACTCCAACACATTTGCAAAGGCAAATGTAAAACAGAAAATGAGCAAGAAAGGGCAAAGCAGCAAGAGATTTAATTAGGAAGGAAGACAAAAGGAAATACAGTTGTGAACATCCATCCTCATTGATCTGTTTTCCTTTGAAAAAGAGTTAATAATATTTTAGCCCTATTCACACATTACTTTTACCTCGGGACCACATGTAATACATAAATTACTCCCCAACGTTTGCTTTTTATGTGGTGCATTGGTACAGGATAACCAAAGCCTGAGATTTAGCTGGAATTTACAGACATCTTCTGGTTATGATGTAAATGTGCTGCGTTGTCACGACCGGGCCGGTCCATAATAATGTGTTTAATGTGCGGGCCGGTCTCAGGCTTTGATGTGGTTTTACGAATCAGCACAAAGAAAACTAAAGAATGCACAATATAAAATTGTGTTAATCTACTTGTTGAGGAGGAGGCAGGTCCGACCGGCCAGTGTAAGAGGTTAAAAAAACACGTTAAGATCAGATAGACAACCTGTCGTCGGCTGAGCGTGTGAGCGGCCGCACGTCCGCTGACCCGCCAGTTGAAATGGACTTGCGATCTGTCCAGGGTGTCCCCCACCTCTCACACAATGATGGTTGGGCATGGACACTAGAGACTCCCGCTATCCGAAAAGGAAGAAGCGAGTAAATATAATGGATGAATGGATGGGTCAGCTGATTGTGAAGGAAGTAGCAACATAAAAGCTAAAGCGAGCAGCGTGTTCATTTAAAATAGCTTGTTCTATATTTTTTCAAATGATTTTGCTTAGAAAACAAAAACCAAAACTGCCTAATTACATATCGGATCCTGCCCATTTCTGTCCAAATCACAGAGATGCCTCTTCACGTTGGATTAGTATTATCACAGGACCTCAGAGTTCAACAAAATATAGAAGGTAATTTGCAGGAGAATTTTTACTTTACAAATTACTGACATGGCCGATTCGCACAGGATTAACAACACAGACCATCTCCATAATTATTACAAATAGCATGTGGTCCCTAGGTAAAACTAATCCCGTGAAAATAGGGCTAAAGATGCAGGAGATAAATGGAGATGCTTATAGAAAGTTTACAGTGCACTGGTGGGAGCAAACAAACGACAGCATTTAAATGTACTTTAGGAAGTTGTTTGTAGATCTTCAGTAGAATTAACCAAACTTTACAGACAGTTAAAAGATTATGTTCCCGTCACACCTGAAACGCTGTATCAAATTTTCAAATACACGCCTTTCTGTCCACTTGTTCAATCTTTGTTTAGAAAGCCTTCAAACCGTTGGATTCAGCTTGGAAACATTATCTCTGGGCCTTATTTAGAACAAGGGCAAAGAGTGTTGTGGCATTTGACAACTGTTGATGTTGTTGCTTGAAACAAATAATTTCTGTGGCTGGTTGTGCTGATGGGGGGTCCCGAGGTTGAAACATGTCAACTTGGCTGTGGACTTTGGCAGAAGTTTGAGCTCAACCACTGCTTGTTTTTAAATGATTTATTTTAAAATATAAAGACAATTTGAATACCATTAGCTCCAGATTTACCTCATGCATGTCTCTTGTTGTAATGTTGGACCAAAACTTGGAACTTTGAATGATGTGGAATTAAAGTCCTAGCATTCCTTGAAGGAACACCTATCACCAGTCACCGACTAACACCGTTGTAAGCTGATAAATGACAGAGTTATAGACATTTTTATTCGTGGTTCCATGTGCCATTGCAGTATCTTGCACGATCTGTTAGCACCCGGATTATTTGTTGTGCATGACTCAGCTATGGCCACACCAAACTTCAGCTCAACATCTGTCAAACTGGCTGAGTCAGGGCTATTTTTGTGGTAGCTAAGATTGCTTTCCTGTGGCAGCTATCTTGAATCTAGTATACAACAAAAGTTATTCAGTTGAAGATGTCAACAACCCAATCATTACTCTGAAAGTGTCAACAAAATCAGTTTGATTTGTCAGATATTTTGCTGACGGTACAAACAAACAGACATACAAGCAGAAACAGTTTTGCTTTGCCTTGGCCTCCCGTGGAAGGAGATAAAAAAGTTGTTTAGTGTACGTTTATTGAAGATTCCTGTAATAGACTGAAAGTCCTCCAGTCCCCCACATGTTTATATATTATGAGCTAAGTGTGTGCATATTTGCTGTGATAACATAGTGGAGAGGTGCAGTGGGGAGCTGCAGACGATGGAAAAGGAGAATATCCATTACATAAGAGATTAAACGAATGGAATCTGAGGTATGCGTCCAACAACGCTGGCCAATAATGTGAAACTTCATGAAACCCCCCCACCATTGCTCAAGTACAAAGCCTCAATGGGTAGCTACACTGTACTGTACCTGCCTTTGATGTAAGATTGTAAAAAGGGAACAAACTCACAGCATGGGACCAGAGCATACGCTCCTACGAGTGCAATTAGACACCGCTGTTGTTTTAACTCTACTTTTAGGCCACAAGGACGGAGGTCGTGAAGGAGTCCACAAAAACAGCAACAGAAACACGGAAGTGATAGAAAAGCTATAAGAGCCTTTTGATTGTTGCAGGTTTTCGGTTACTAACAAAAAGTTCTGTGTTTGATCAAAATAAACTCTTAGTTGTGTTCAACCAAGTTGCTCCTGCACACACGTCACTCAGAGAATCAGCCACAATATTTCAACACATTTTTCAGAGTTTGGCAACAGCAGCGTAATATAGTTGGAAGGGAAAAACAGGAAAATAAAGTTGATTTGTGTCATCCATCCACGTGCTGCACATAACTTAGTGACACACACTCATCGTGATTAAGATGGTCAGTATTATGACACACACGCACACACACACATTTGTTTTCCCTTTCTATCTTCAGGGGACGATGCACATCCCCCTTCCTGTTTCCCACTGTGCAGTCATCTGCAGGAAGGATGTGTAAGTCACACACATCTGTTGCTCAGTCTGGTGCAGACTCAAGAGTGCATCTCAACAATGTATTCATAAGTTATTGCTTCAGTTTAGTTTGAAATAAGAAGTTTGACAATGCTGAGCACTGACCTCTGACCCTGGCATAGCAGCAGCCACACTTGACCAGGACTTTACGGAACAAGTGGTGGCAGCCACAGCCTCGGTGGTGACGATGGTGATGGTGGCCTCCTTTCATGCTGTTGAACCATGAGCGGAGGTGGGCATGGGGCCCGGCACTCAGTGACTTTCACCCCCCACCCCACCTCTCTCCCTTCTTTCTTTCTTTTTTCTTCTCTCTTTATGAGGTTTACTCCACAAAGTGTAAATCTCCAAAAAAGGTGTCAGCTGAATCCTCCTCCTCCTCCTCTTCTTCTTCAGTTGACTGTGAGCAGCACTAAAGCCCACATCCAAGAAGCTGCGAGTCCACAAAAGAAGCAGCAACAGAAAGAAATCCACCTCTGCAAGATGGGGGGTTTAAAAAGCAGATAAATATTCCAGCAGTCTTATTGTCATATTGAATGTGTTCTTTTAGCTCCGTCTCTTTTTTTCTGCCCCTCTTTGGCGCTGAGCTCTTGCCTCTATGAACTGCCTGGTCAAATGATAGTCTGGGAGACAGCTTTTCGAAGGAGAGAGGGAGAGATAGCAGGGGAGAGAGATAGAAAGAGAGAGTAAGGGGAGGGGTGAGAAGGGTGGAGTCTACAGCTTTAGTCGCTGGCTATTCCAGTATAAGGTTCCCACTTTGCTGTTTTTTTATGTGTGTGTGTCTCTTCCTGTCCTCTGTTTCTCTCTTTATTCTTCTCAGCTGTTTTTCCTCACCCACCCCACTCTTCATTTCCTCTCCTGTCAGCTGCTCACTCTGTCTAGTCTGCTATCCTCTTTTCTACATGCTTGAGTCTCATTGTGGCATAGGTAATCCTCACACTCCAGGAGCAGAAGAAATGACACGCTCTCTCGTGCCCACTCAGTTCTGACCCTGGAAATAGTAACAGAAGCATATTTGTTTGCAGAGCAGAGTCCAAATTGGATTGAAGGTGTCGCCTATTATTAGTGTAACATTGTGTCAGTGTGTTACACTTTACCACAGTTTAGGAATGGACTTTAATGAGAGTTTCCACCCTGTCACAACCCCCCCATGTGCTCATTTATGATCACGAAGTCTGCAACGTTTTTCTTTCTTTATGTTTCCATGGAGCACACAGGCAGGCTCATGTTTCACAATGTTGATACTCTTGGTGTGCGAATGTACAGTGGTGTGCATGTGCATGTGTGTGTGCATGTGTGTGCAACACTAGCCAAGCAGCCTGATAAGCCAGAGTGGTTGAGCCTAACAGAAATATAGACAAAAGATCAGTTTGAATTTATCAGTAAATCAACAGATTCACTGAAGATCAAAGGCTGATCTTAAATTTCGATTTCAGTTTAGTTTTATTTATAAGGCAGCATTTGAAAACTAAAGTGATCTCAACGCAGCTTACAAAATACAACTAATTACATTCCTCTAAATTAGCTTTAAAAAGCAGAAAAGGGTTTCCCGATGCATAGAGAGCTGACTGTGGACACAAACGTGGATCTAAGCTTCAGCAGAATTACCGTTGTGTTAGAGCAGTGGTTATTAAACATTTTATAAGAAGTCCCACATACTAAGCACTACAAGTACCTTCATTATGACATACATGTAAAAAGGGCAAGCTCATATTAATATCTGACATAAACTCTTCAACTATATATATACATATATATACATATATATATATACATATATATATATACATATATATATATATATATATATATATACATATATACATATACATATACATATA